TGTTTTTGCAGGTATGCAAGACCCAAAATAAACGAATTGCCCCCTCAGGGATAATGAAGACGCCTTAAAATGTAAATATTAGATGATGTAAACGTAGATGATATGATTGATCGCTGCTTTAGTCTGGTAGCTGCACCGCGACTTGTAGCTAAACTGCTAATGCTACTTTTGCCGTCAGCTGTGACAGACTGTGCAGACTCCAATCACATTTTCAAGCTTTCCGCATAATCACTCAGGAAGAACTTTTTCAAATGATTAATCAGATTCATTGTGTTGCTGGTTTTTGAAGGTACCGACCGCCAACATATCTTACACATCGGCTTAAGCTCCCAATGTCAACCACCGCCTAATGTTGTAGTACTCAAATTGGTCTTGGTCTCGAGACCAGATCGAGTAAATATGCTCACAGCTGATCACCGTGATCGAACTGGAATTTATCACGATCATATAATCGCCCAGTCCAAATAAAAATGTAATCGTATTTGACATAAACTACATACTTTTTTAGTGGTTGTGATGTTTCTCTCCCTGACCTTGAAGGGAGAATAACAACTCCTGTAAAACTACAAAGTACAGTCTGTATGCAATGTGGAAATCAAACTATTCGATCAACAGGAAATTGTCACAGATTTAGCTGATTGATCATTTCCCTCATAGAGAGCGATCATAATTTTAGCCAAATGTAGAGTCAGTGCATGTGGAACTTTTTCACTTTTCATTAAACTTAAAGCAAAGTGAGAAAAAAACAAAACCCCTCCACTGCAGCAGGAGAGAAGACCAGAGGGTGCAGGAGGCGGGAAGAGGGCTGGAGTGTAATCTTCAGACAGCCAGAGGGCGAGCAGGAGTGATATTCAATACCTGAGCCAACAACAGATTATACATCTCATCATATCACAGCCCAAATTTCACTCAGAGCAGAGAAAACTGAAAACATCTTTAAAGCAAACATCTCACTACGCCTGACATCTCACTCTCTCACACACACTCACACACACACACACACACACACACACACACACACACACACAGACTGAGGTTACTATAGCAGTGATGTCAGGCTACAGTTGAGTACAGTCGGCTTCAGTCTGACAGAGCGAGTGTGCAGGAGGAAGGCTTTGTGCCGCTCTGTGACACAGTCTGACAGACAGCTCGGCTCATGTTGACAGGTTTTGGTGAAAAGTGACGTTAGCCTGGAATCAAACGGTGAAAAAAAACGACTCCCACGGTGCTCCGAGATCTCTAAAGTTAATGACAGCGCTCTGCCTCAAACAGAGGATGGAGGGCTTTGAGGAGCTGCTCTGAAAGTAAATCTAGCGTCAGTTCACAATTAATGAGATGAATAATTGATTTGTCTCTTGTTCTACATCAAATGAAGTCACTGAGTGCCCTTCACTGCACCTGAATACAAAAGCTGTCTTTGCAGAATCTGGCAAGAGCGCACATGGAAACTCATTTCATATCGTTAAAGCTCCAGTAAGGAGGTTTTAATCTGTTATAAACCAACTAAACCAACTTTGGCACATCATTATTAATCACAAAAGCACACAAGACAAGGTTTTAGTTTTGGTGCCTCAAGTGGGCGCTCAGGGAACTGCAGTTTTATCACTCCTGTATCAGCATCATTTCTTAGGTCTCAGATTTATTTATAAACAGCACGCCACTTCATTCTCTGTGGCCAAAAATCTAGATTAAATACATTTACTGGTGAGAGAAAGCAGGATGAGATTCATGTCACTCACATTTACAGAAAAGGTTCAGCTGGGATTAATGAAACTGCTTCGTCCACAAAAAAAATCTGGAAGAGGAGGAAAAATGAAATCTGGAAAAATGGAAGAAGGCAATGTCTATCCCAGTGGCTGCCCTGAAATCCTGAACCATGATGCCTGTTTGACTCATCAGAGGCTGCACTTATATGGAGAAATCATTTATTTATTACTTTTATGGTACTTACACTGTCCTTTCACATTAGGGATGGGCGATAAACTATTGTTCACAAGTTATTGTCAGAAAAGTCCCCCACGATATTAATTTGCAATCTCACAATAAATGCGATAAACGCAAGTTGATGACATAAGCGAGCAATGGACTCACAGCCATATCCCACATTGAGCAGAATGACAAACAAACATGGAGGGTGGTGAAGATTGGGATTTAGACGAGTGCAATCAGGTGTGCCTGACATTAGCCAATCGATCTGCTGTTCACTCTGTGCAATAAGAGTTTTGAATAATGTTAAAAGTGTTTTCACATTTCAGATTTGATTGATGTCATTAGTTTTCTACATAACCTACCACTCAAACTTGTGGTTAAGTATCTTATTTGACTACTCCAACTGGTTAGTGCCTTCCAAGAACAATGATTGTGTGGTTCTCAAGACAGAATGAGTCAAAAACAGGGATTTGAATTTTAATTTGATAGGATAGGATGAAATGTGGGGAGATAGAGAGAGACAGGGGAAGGACATGCTGCATATGGTCAGGGCCGAACCCAAACCACGACCGCTGCAGGGACTGTGGTTCCCATAGATGGGGCACACTAACCCGAGAATTTTATTTCTTTTATCGGGGCTTTAATCGTTATCTCCAGAATTGCAAAACCTATTGTGATCAATTATTTAGCCAATATCACCCACCCCTATTTCACGTCTTCTGTTGAGTCCCCCCAAAATCGACTTTGCCACTGCTGAGTTTCCTTTTTGAAGCTAAAATTTACACGACTCACAAAGATTACTGGAAACAACCCTCTGAAGTGTGGGGTAAACCCCAAATAATTAGCTGGCCACTCTATAAAAGTCAGTGCCCCAGTGTGGCCACCCCTGTCAAAACAGTCTGTATCCATGACAACGCAATAATGACGTTTCTCACAGGAGCTTTAATTTAAGACGTGCTGGGGAAGGAATTTGAGCCTATGAAGCTGTCATCTATATAACCATAAATCTATATCTAAAAATCACCTTTAAAGGTCAATGCTGATCAAAACAGTATAAAACAGCAAAAAAGCTGCTTTTAACCAATACATGAGTCATCTGACATCTACATGACTGTTGTTAAAGGGTTAAAACAGACATGTGTTATAAACATGGGGCATTATTTGATCTCATCCTACCAGAAAACAATGTTCAGAGAAAATAAGAACATATCCTCGAACAGGTCCGCTCTATCATGATGCACATACTTTGAGTTGAAGGTAATATCGTGTCCATGTAACTCATGCTGTGCTCAGAGATTGGCCTGCAGACTAACTTTCTACCAGCATGAATGAAAGAAACCAATAATGCAGGATGCAGTGGACATCTTGAGTATATTTTTAAGTAATTGCACAAGTCAAACTCACCTGAATAGACTTTTTTTTTTTTATTCCTGACCAGAATGTTGAGTTCATGAGCAGCGAAGAGAAGTTTTTTTCATGTGAGAAATCGTTTTATTTACAGATACTTTAGCGAAGAAAACCCCAGTGGGAACTTCACAATTTAACCCAATCAAAGTTCTTTCTACAGAATCCAACAGTATTCGTGTGGGGCTGTCAGGCCCTCGTGTGTTTTTGTAATAGAATAAAATTTAGCAAACCCCGTCTGTCTCACACCTGCTCATCAGGACACATGGGCCTGTCCAGACTTCAGGGAACAGTAATGTTTTACTGCCACCTGGTGGTTACATGCAGAACTATCCTCCAGAGACGATCATGGTAGGTTTTTTATTTTTTTTTATTTAAAATGCTGCAGATGACCTTTTTTTTATGGTTTGAAGGCTGTGATATCTTGTTGGAGGGAATAATAAGCACTTGACCATAGGTTAGAGCAGAGACATTTTTTAACCTGCCAGGATGAGCAGATTAAATAAAATAAAAAATAAAACAATATTTTTGTTTGAGAAAAGCTCAAATTATAAAAAAATTACCCCTCCTTACCCTGTATTTATTTATCTACACCAAAAACTTAATATTTTTATGTTGAGGAAGTTTTAATTATTGCACATTAACATTTCCTTAAATATCAAATTTGAAAAAGGTTGTTGTTGCCCCCAGTGTGACCTAAATTCATTAGCCAAGTAATCTATTGTATCTATACAGAACAGCTGTAATTAACAATCATGTATTTATCTTTTTTTAACTCCAAGTTTCTCCATCCTTTAATTTCTCTTTTGTATTCATATGCTGCTGTAATCCGGAATTAGTCCCTGTCAGGGTTATAAAGGAATATTCTCTCTATTAAAGCATGATATTTAACCCTTTAAAAGGGTCAGGTACACCAGCTATCGCAATGTTTTAGGATTTGTTCGTGCTCTACCCTTATTAAAAAGTCAGGTAACATTAAACACAACTTTGAAAGCAGATGAACACAGCTGAGTTGGAAGATCAACTCCTCAACTTGAACGCAGCACTTGAATTATTATTTCCTAAAAGTGTAAAAGATTATATTTGGATGTGTTTCTTTGCTGCTTGGAGAAGATTTGATTATAATGATTTAAAGTGTTGGTGCAGTTGGTGTCTTCAGTTCTGTTAAATTCACAAACATTCAGAACAAGGGGCTAAAAATTTTAAATGCATTGAAAATTTATTTCATGAAAAGACAAAATTACAAAACGGTGCTTGTCCCTGTCAGGTACCGTCTTCATGTTATTGCATGATCCCGTCAAAGGTGCATGGTTAGTAAGTGAGCTGATCTTCGTTGCATGTGCCTGTGACTATCAGAAGAGTTTTGTGTCGTATTGCCTTGATGCAGTTGAACCCGTGTGCATGCGTTATCGAGGCTGAGGCACGCCGCTGACTGACATCACCAGAACAGACAGATATTTAAGATGAGCTGTGGCCTCTGATGATGCAAGGCAATCACAAACAGTGTAATCCTCCTGAGGATCCGCAGACAGACAGCTCGCTCCAGTCACCTCTGCAGTCAGTTTCAGCTGCTGCTGTGATGTGCTCGTCTGCTCCGACTCAAAGGATTATTGGGACAGTTTGATGCCGTGACAAGGACGGCTGGAGGAATGACAGTTGGTGCACATTTACCACAGATCCGTCTGACTGTAGAGATGATGGCTGAACCGAAACTCCTTGAAATGCATGTTCTCCGTTTGTGTGTCGCTCACCGGCAATAAGGCCTGGACGGTGTCCTGCCATGATGCACAACTGTCACTGCTGTTCACACTGTGGATGATGTGCAGCTGCCACACTGTTCATGTGATTCACAATCACTGATGGCTTGATTCCCCGGTCAAACATCGTATCCTTCTAAGAAGCAGAAAAAACATTTAATACATCGCTCCTCCTCCATTTACTGACAATATGTACAGTATACAGGAGTTTTCATGCATACATGAACAAGAGTATTAAAGGTGGGGTAGGCAGGAATCCGTTAAAGAAGCATCTTTTTTGTGGTTTATATACAAAAAAGCTTTTAATATCAGTCCATAGCTATTAGTCATCGATGATATTTGGTAAAATAACGATATCGCTGTGTTTTGTTATGTCTGTGTAGTCAACATTGTAAAGTTTTTGAGCAGCCCGCTCTTTCTGACTGTAAACAAAGCCTTTCCCCGTCTCCCCCAACCTGATTGGTTGTGAGGCAGGCGCTGCTCCCTTGTTGTTCAGTGCTTTTGACTTTCACCTTGACTGGGCCCCATTTGTAATTATCTGAAGTATTTATCTGCCTTATATCTGAATTTAATTGAAACGATACGAGCGAGCAGGAGTGACTGTTTGTGGACGGGGCTTGCTGGAGCAGAGAGGAGGAGCTGAGGGGAAAACTGGTTGGGAGGGGTAGAGTTTACATTCAAGATTTCTCCTAAAAACTGGCACTTCCTCAGATTCTGCCGACCCCACCTTCAATAACAAGAAAATGTCCCAATACCTGTGCACACTGAACCTGCACACCGAGTCTTTAGGTCACTGGGGACATCAACAACCTGTAAGAGCAAATAAAACAACCTCAGAGTTGGGAGCATCATAACCTGCAGAGTGAACATAGCCTTTGAGACACTTCCAAGCAGCAACAACGTGACGCTCCAGGCTGCACACATACCGGTTGTGTTTCCAACATGAAGTTTGGCCATTGCGGCAAATCTGGGATCAAGGATGGAGGACAGGTAAAGCAGGTGGAGGTCCATCGAGACTAAACTTTGGCTGCTGCTCTGCACGAGGCAGCCTGTGAGGATAAAGGAGAAGAGGGAGGATTTCAACACAGAGCGGATCATTTGGCTAAAGAAGTAGTGAAGACAAACAGGAGGAAAAAAAAACAGCTATCGTAGGCAGTTTGTTTAAAAAACACAAAAAACACAGAGTCTAACTATCAAGTAGGTTACCGATCACAGCTAGAGGAAGTTTTTAAGTGGGTCATTAATGACCAGCAGAGCCACTGTATGCTGGCAACTGCTGTGCAATGATAAATAGAAATGTACCGGGTTATTATCACAGCGAGAAACTAACGAATGTTCTGAATGGACAGCAGAGCCTGTGGTGTCTCAGTGAAAACTCCCTCCGACTTCATATAATTAGAGCCGAAAGGAAACAGAACGTCTGTCATCAGCACTCTGTGACATGGAAAAAAATCAAGTCAGGCATGTTAACCTGATAAAAACAGCCAATAAATAATAAAAATGGTGCCAATAACAGGTTCTTCTTACTGATGGGAAAACTTGTAACATATAGTGCAGGAAAAAAAAAAATTCTTATTTTATAGATTTGCCTCTGAATCATTTTACACACATATGACAGGATACAGGATCTTTAAAAGCGACACTTTCATGGGGAGTTAACTTGATGAACATTTATGATGTAGCCCACTCAGTGATGCACATCTGCTGCAGACAGTATTTATGGCTAACTGCACAAAAAGAGCATAGACAGTTGGGAAGAAAAATATAGATGTTAGCTGACGGCACAACTTCTCTTTAGGACTGGGCGATAAACTGAAAATGTACCGATAATGAAATTGACAACAAAAAGGAGCGAGTGAGTGAGAGAAAGAAATCGAGAGTACCGCAATTTTTTTTTTTTTACAATTTTTAAATTCAAAAGTCATTTTTTTAAAAAGGATAAATCTTTAAAACTGTCTTGCATGTGATGACACCACTCTGGCAATCCCTGCAGTCACAGACCAGTAACAGTCAGCATGACCCAAAGGGAAGTAGAGCTGACTCCTGATCTGAGTGAAATGATCGATTTTGTCAAGTTGCTCAATAATTCATCCTCAAAGCATAATTTTAAAAAGTCCTTCTCCAACACGCTTTGTTGGATAAAAAGGCTTTTGCTGAGTAATGTTTGTGGGAAACCCTGTTATTGAGATGTGTGGTGATTTGTTGGGCTTTGAAATGAAGCAGGAGTCATTGCTCTGAAAGCAGTGGAAAGCATCTCGAATTCTTTTTCTGTTCATCTGTAAATTGAACCAACCCATGAGATTTGTGATCCGTTGCAGAAATCTGAATGCAGTAAATCTGCAGGGCTTCGATTTTAAGAATTTATTTTTCCACATCTCTTCATTTCCTGCATTTTATTTCTGTGAGCTCATGTGCCTTGGTTTATTCACTCAGTATACTGGGTGAGTCTTTAAATGAAGCTTTTATGTGTAACTTGTTTAATTAAGATAAGCTGCAAAGAGGACAAACTGAGGAGAAAGTGATTTGCTCTTGATTGAAAACGCAAAAGTTGACTGAAATAAGGTGCGTGTGTGTGTCCTTACCAGCTCGCAGGTAGGAGTTCTCCTGCACACCGTGGCTGTCAGGAGAGTTTCTTTTCATCCTGTTGATATTAACTTGAACAGGCGGCTGAGCCATATCCTTCAATTCGCGGATCTCCAGTCTGGAAAGGGGAGAAGGCAGAATAGAAGTAGTGCGAGACTGGAAATTTGAAGAGTAACAAAAACAAAAGCAGAAGCTCTCAAGTTTGGAGGTGACTCAGATGGCCCCTGTGCACATCGGGTGTCGCCACAGAGAATCAGGACAGATCTGCAGTGCAACTGCCACCAGCAAACCAGTCAAAAAGTGCAACTCATCATTGTCAAACCTCCTACATAAGACCAATAAAACATAGACAGGAAAAAGAGCAGTGTTGTGAGAGAGTTGGGGCATGCATGGGATGGATGACAGGAAAAATTGATTGCTTGAAAAAACTGGCAATTTCAATTCACACTTGTATCTTGAAAAAGGGATATTCTGGCGTAAAATCAATTTAGGGTCGAACACACTGTAACACCGAGTTAGACACCCCCATCAAGAGATGAATTTTGCCGACTGCTTGCTTCTCTAGTTACACCAACTTTAGTAACGACCGCACGATAGCAATACACAACCAAAACACCACTCTATAGCCACAAATAATGCTCAGAACAGCACCTAACTTCATCAACAGTACATATAGGGTCCTAGCCATCAAACATCCTTTAACTTAGTCTAATTTCTTTAGCAAAAAGACTAAACACAACCCACCCTCTCTCCTCCAGCAGCCGCTTGTTTGTAGCGAGACCTCAGGCCAGTCCATTATGGACTACAACGGGGTGACGCAGCTCAAGGAAGAACATTTATGATCATTTCTTTATCATTTCCTTGAAGTAATAATCATCATATTAATCATTTTGTACTGCAGACACAGTAGTTCCTTTGTCTTAGCGTCTCAGTCTGATTGTATTTCCATGAAGAAATGATCATAAATGTTCTTCCTTGAGCTGCGTCATCCTGCAGTAGTCCGTAATGGCCTGGTCTGAGGTCTCTGTACAAACAAGCGGCTGCTGGAAGAGAGTAGGTGAGTTGTGTTTAGTCTTTGCTAATTTAGGCAAAGCTAAGAAGATGTTTGGTGGCTAGTGCTGTGGCTGGGATCCTTTATGTACTGTTGATGAAGTTAGGTGTATATCCCTTCAATAAGCAGCATCACGGAAGACAAAGGTACAATACTACAGGTTATGGAAGGAAGTGAGCTCATCATACAGACCTTGAGAGAGGAAGGACCTAGGTTCCGGGTCTCACCCTGGTTGAGGTGGTCTGAGACACACCATCCCTTTAAGATGGCAGACTTGAACCTGGATAAAAAAATAATGGGATTTAAATACAGATCTTAAACCGACATTGTTTAGTGATCGCTCATTCTTTTAAAAACAATTATGAGTATTTCAGCTGGAGGGTAGAGGATAGAGTCAGATGGCCCCTGTGCACGCGGTGTGTCCTCAGGTAGAGTCAGGTCAGAGTGCTGATACCACTGCAGCAGACACCCTGACTGATCAGTGCAACTCATCACTCTCACACCCCAAAACCTCCACTTTAACATTAAATCCAGATTACACAATGACCTTCCTGCTGGCTAAATGTCTGTATATAGAATACAGTATATACAGTCTATGGTAAACACGTGTAAACGTTTACTACACTTGGGTTAGCCGAGCTAGCTGCTGACCTAGCTGGTATGCTAAGCTAACATAATAAAATCGAAGGTCTGTTTTTGCTTCTAAAACTGCCGACTTCAAACAGTGAACGAAACTTTTCTAGTCTTAACTCACCGGAAAACAACAGGAAATCTTCGGTCTCCCCATACGATACATCGTCTTTGTCTTCACCACCACCTCGGCCGACTCAGCCATCCTTGAGTTTTAAACCGGACTTTGTCAGAGGCTGATCGGTGATTGGCTAAAAACTGAGAGATAGTGGCGCTCTATTGGCTGGATGAAAGTTATTTCCTGTTGATCGACCAATGAAAAGTTCCATTCATGTCACATGCACAAAGTACCGCAAGAGCCGTAAATTGCTGTAAAGAAGTGACTTTTGCTTTTAGGGGATCCTGAAATAGACGAAAATCAACTCTACCTGACTTACGCCAGAATATCCTTTTCAGGTTGATTATTTAGTGCCCCTGTAAAGCTATACATTGACCTTTTGGCTTTACCTGTTTTGCTCATTTAGTTTTATTGTTATTCTTCAGTATGCAACCATGTTTACTGACAGTATAACCAGACTTTGACCACACCTTGCCTTAAATGTCTTAAATGTACAGCATTTTTTTAAATTCTAAGCTATATATCCTGGACTTGTTTACTGCGAACATTACTACAAATACTGTCCCTGTAAAAGTTTACATCCTTGGAACTCTGAACTTCTAAAAACTCACTTAACCCTTTATTGCCTTTTGAATCATATTTGATATACACTTTTATGATACTTCTATCAATCAATATGATTAGCAAATTACTAAAAATACACCTTAATGCAGTCCGATAAATGATAAAAATGTCCTCTTGTGGTTTATCAGTTTCCAAAAGCATTTAATGTGCCACCAGGATAAATAAATATATTTGTGAAATTATAAGGATACTCTGATTTTTTTGATTTTCAGTAGTACGTAAAATAAACATTTCAGCTCCAAAAAATTTGAATTTTCTGGCCATAATTTTTGATTTCAGGCATTAAAGGGTTAAGATCCTTGGTTTACTAATCTAAAAGCACTTTTTTTTATACCAGTCAAATATTTCTGTTCATACTACCTGAATATAAACAAAAAAAAAAATGGTGATGGATGATTTGCCCCTAAACCATGACTCTCTAAATAAGTTTTAAATCCCACTGTTGCGTGTGTAATCGCCCCTCAGAAGCGGGTTTATTGATGAGAGAGCCCAGAGTTTCATTGAAATGCAAATGCAGTTTTATATTAAAAGATAGCAAAGGGATATTTCACTATATCACACAACACAGCTTGTTAGTACTGCCATGGAAATACATATACAGTCTTTTCATATTTACACATCAAGTGACAACCAAACAGAAATCATAAATACCTCTTTTTGTTAACTTTACAACAGCTATAAGCGACCAGTATTTCATAAGATAAAAAGAGCACTATTAAATAACTGGCATCTTCCCTATCATTTACAAGGCTTGGAAACACAGTGGTTAAAATAATCCAGCAAAAAAAAAAAATAAACAAACAAAACAAAACAAAATAAAAATGTTCTTCTCCAGTGAGTAAAATTAACACAAGTCTAAAAACAGTCATGAAATCCCTTTGTACAAAAGACTATACAACTTAATCGATGAGATATCTTCAATAGAAATGTTTAAATGCTTATATCCGCATGATAAAATCTGTACAGTTTTAGCATTCCTGCAGCAGAGATGGAGGGACTGTGAGCCAAGGTGATCGGTTACTGGGTCGCCGTGATGCTCTGTAAGCCTACTGTTGACCAATCCTAAGAGACCGTAGTTATGTAGCTGCCAAGACCCTCGTTCATTGGCCTCAGTGCTTCGTCTAGCAGCAAATCAGCAAACTGCTGAGCTTGTAGCAGATACTTCAAAATTCTGTTACGTCTAATCGATATACTTATTCGTCAATATAGTAATATAGTAAATTCCTCGTACCACGTTTCAACATCAAACAGGATGGTACACTAAACGTTAAAGCAATGCATAATATCTTGTATTAAAGTCATTTCAGTAAGTTGTCAGTGATATATTTCTAAACTAAAACCCTCACAGTCTGATGGGGTCAGACATGCACAGTGTTCCTAAGGTAGCCTTTGTTCGTACCACGGTGCTGCAGACGCTGCGAGGACATGTTTGCTTTACAGATTCAGAGTTGAGGAGTCAAAACTCAAATCCCAGAGAACACACACGACCTTATTTACCTCCGTTAGGATTTAGCCATGCAGATACTTTTGTTTTTTTAGCCCTGTGACAACAGGGAAAGTCAAAGTTTATGTTCAATTGAAAGTACTGGAGTTTAAAGTAGTTCGGTCAGTTTGTTTGAGGATCTTTTTAACTACATAAGCTAATACTCTTTAATTTTTAAGCCTTACAAACACAGCGCATTATGGGTAAAAGTTGTGAGGTGAAAGAGAGAATTTTTAGACTGCTGAGTTTAACAGGGTTGGGGTTAGGCCACCAAAACAAAGGGATCACTATCAGCAGCCTGTTGCACCAGCTCTGCATGAGCTGTGTCTTGAGTAAGGGTGCAATGTCCACACACTTGACCATTTACTGTGACTACTGAGTTTGCAACATGTGTCACTTCACTGTTTACCAGATATCCAGTATGGCTCATCTGAACTAGTGGAGGAAACCCTCTGCTTTTCTTCATGCACACACATACACAATAAACCTGTCTCTTTTTAACAATGGGATATTTGTATTGTTCAGAAAATAAGCGTATGGCAATACCTCAGGTTTTTAGTAGAGGAGGAGAGATGAAGAAGAAGTAGCAGACTGCTGGTGAACTAGCTGTAGTAACATTCTGAGAGATATGTTCAACATTTTTAGTGAATTTAAAAACAGCGTTTGAGCTCCTGCCTCTTCGGGTTACTACTCAACAACATTTAAACTGTCTGGTAACGGTTTTCATTCAGTTTGTAACTTACAAGCTCTCAGACGCAGTGTCCTTCAAAATAAAAGCATGACAAACAATCAGTGAATGAAGCAATATTGTCCCTTGCAGAGCTGATAATAAATCAAGGTTTTTTGTAAATATCAGGATGATATTCTTATCATGAAACGTCCTCAAATCTTTCAAAACCATGCACCAAGAAACTGTTACTTTACAGAGGACTTGACACCTATCTGGAATTTCCCCCTGTGGGACTAATAAAGATATATCTTATCTTATTTAAAGCTAGGTGTAGGAGTTAGATTGTAATTTGTGCATTGGAACTATCTCAGCTGGTGTAACCCCAAAGACCTTTGCAGAAGGAGAAATTATGTTCACTCTCGGTCATATTTCAAATCATGCAGAGCTGCTGCAACCAGCCTCAAGCTCTTAATCTGAAGCTCTGCTGCAGGTCAGCCTTTTTCTTTTGACTCATGTTTGACAAGTTCCAAAAGTATCTGCATGGCTACGTCGTCTTTGTGGTACATCTATGAGGAAAAAAAAAAAAGTATTTCTGTGATTCAAATGACCAAACCCAAGTAAAACAAACGACATGAACATTTTTAACCTCTGAGAAAAACAAAATAAATATTCAGCTGAGGGAAGAAAAAGAACGAAATGTTTGGCACTTCGGCTGTTACTTCATTGTAGCTTCCTCTGCTCTGCCAGAAAATCAACAATGGTTGAAATACAGTTTAAAACAGAAAACAACAAAAGGCTCCTTTCAGGTTAGTTTAGCAGAGAATGAACGGACTCGACAGCAGCAGCTACAGCAAGTCCTTGACCTGTTCAAAGGCTGTAAAATCAGGAATCATGAAGTCTCCCACTGGTGAGGGCGAGTCAGTAAAGTCAAACGAAACAAGCGTCCTGTGAATTGAGATATATATTTCTATTCATGTTTAAACACAGAAAGAAGCATGGAGACTCGGAGAAGCCCCACCCTTTGGCACTGTCATAAATACAACTTTTGAAAAACCCAAGTCCTGCTGCAACAAAGTTCCAACACAACACTCTGCCAGCAAACCCACTCGGCAAGTACAAAAACGTTCATAAATAGAGTTTATAAAGTCATGAGTGGCGTTAGAGAGAGAGCATCGAGGTTACGTCGTTCGGGGGGGAAAGTTTTCCTTTTGTCCTGGGGAAAAATCCACAAAAATAAAGGTGAAGTTTCACACAGAGGAGCGAATTCAGAGTCTGCATCCTTAAAAAAAGGTGCCAGGAAACGCTCGTGTCTCTCTGCTCATTTCCTCCCCAGAGTCCTTTGCTTTCTTCTTCCAGCATGCTCATTAGTTTATCATGTTGCCTCGAGGCAGTCGCATTGAGGGTGCTGTTGCAGGACTGTACTGCATGTGTGTGTGTCTGTGTGTGTGTGTGTGTGTGTGCACAAGTAGGACGGAGCCCCAGTTTCAGACAGGAGATGTGTTTCAGTGAGCTTACAGGTTCATGAGGACTGTTACTCTACGGATGCGACAGTTTCTGTGTTTGTACCTACAGTATTTCTGTTTTTGTGTGTCTGTACCGGCTATAAATACAGGTGTGTGTCAGTGTGTGTGTCTGTGTGTGTCTGTGTGTGAAGATGGAGGCTGAGGATAAAGCATGGAGGACAGGGCGGGGCCTCCCTCACACTTCGCTCTCCGTCGAGGGCTTACGTGAGGAGGCCCAGCCGGTGTCAGGTAGGCTGTGCTGGGCATGGCGCTGCGGGGTGATGGCTGAAGGGGTGAGGGTGGTTATGGAGGAGCATTCAGACGCCTCCTCCTGGAGGAGCTGCTCCGTCTCGCCGTCGTCTAGGGAGGCACTGCTGGCCTGCAGGGACACGGTGTCTGTGCGCATGCAGGTGTGCAGGCCGCCTCTGGACGGCTTGATCTGTTTTAGGTCGTCCCAGTAAAGCTCCTCATTGGACAGGAGACACACGCCCTCCACGATGCGGATCTTCTCCTTGGTGTAGCCTCCATCCACGCCCCCCTGGACAGCAAGAGTCGAAACCAATCAGATTAAAGATTTTAACAAAAATCCAGACCCAGTTACTTACTTGCAATGATTGGACCTTGCTCTCCTTTATTTCAGACTAATGTTTCGTACTTATTTTCCTCTTTTTCACTCTTTCTTAATCCAACCCTCTTTCATTTTTAACAATAATCACATTTAATGGGGTTAGATATTTAATCTAAACATTGAAAACAGAAAATCTGGAGACAAAAGCATGACCAAAATAAGAAGCTGCACCTGTAAAAG